AGAAAAAAAGAAAATCAGAAATTTGTTTCCTTAAGACGTAATATCCTATTCCTGATGAGAGGATCATTTGTCAAGTTACCTGAATGTCATCACTGAAGACAAGATGGGATGCTCTATATTTTGCAAGCAGCTCAAAGACAATGTGGTTTGCAAAATCATCAAACTACGGTTAAGAAATTCATTCATTAAGAAACTTCTAGTCAAGCTTTGGAAGATCAAAATTACTTGATTTGTCAATCCACTAGAATGTGTAATGGTGATACTTGTATGGGGACTTTTTCTCCATAATTCTGACACCATCTTTGCCCTCTTTTGTTTGATCTGAATATAGAATCCATCCTTTAATAACTCCTCATTGTTTGTCCCAACATCAATAGTTACAGGCAAGCACTGCAAATGACAATGAAAATCCTCAAATTTCTATAATGTAAAGAGAGAAAGATACCATTATGATTAGTATCCAAAATTCCAATTGATCTTGTTACAGTCAGTCATATCATCTTGTTCAGTTTCCTAAACGAAAGCCAACTCCAATTTGCCACATGAGGGAAGATCTCAAATAATTCTCTATACAATACCAATTTATCTAATTGTCCTAATTTGATCCCATTAAGGGAATTCAAATTAGGTGAATGTGTTAGCTATGTGGTGGGTTGTGGAACCAATGATAATGCCTCACGCTAGTGATTAAAATACATGGGACCCACAATGAGAGGTTGAATGGTTGTGGGGCCCCATATATTTTATGATTGATGTGGAGGATTATGATTAGTTCCACAACTTGCTGACCAACTATTGAGTTCAGACAATCCTATCTCCCATTGAGGATGATTCAAATTTGATTTGTTTATAATTTCTACCCAATTTGATTTGATACAATCTGTTTCAATTTGATTTAAATACATATGCTCATATATATTTAAAATTTATATTATATCCAATGATTTGAATGTTGTGTTTTTACTAATTTGTCATTAAGTTAAAATTTTAAACTAATAATTCTCAATTTATTTTATTCTAGAAATACAATATCATGAACAAAAAAGAAATACAATATCAAACCCATTTTTAGTATGTATTTCCTACATCATAGATTTTTCCCTATAATATTTTGATATTTTTTGTTTAATTTACTTATACTATTTAATGCCTAATTGTGATATGAATTCGATTCAAATCCAGAATTCCATAGATAACATCCCATTCAAAGTCGAATATAAACGGTTCAAATTTGGATCTAACTATAACCAATTGGATTCAATACATTGAACATTATCTCCTCTCCATAGTTAAGGAGAAATGGAAAATCCATTATCTCCAATTCCTATTTATCTTCTAAATTATCTCTAATTTTTTTTATCTCCAAAATTATCTCTAATTTAGTAGAGAGTTTCTCTTCTAAATTATCACTAATTCCTATTTATCCTCACCCCAACTTTTTAGTTATATCTATCTAAAGAAAGTTTGGATTAAAAAATTTAAGAATTATTTAAATATTCTAATAAAATTATATAATAACTTTAAAATATTTATTAAAAACACAAAATATCAATTTATATTTTTACAAAATATATCACGAAATTATGTACTAACAATTTAAATTTTGTTTTTCTGGATTATCAAATTAAATGTTTTTCAAATATTTAATAATATGTAATAGATTTAAAATATAAAATTCAAATAACAAAAAATTTAAAATATTTTAAAAATTATTTAAATATCTAAATAACTAAGTATTTATCATAACTAGATTATAAATAGTTAAAATAACAAAATTATGTAATAAATTTAAAAAAAATTCTTCAAAGTAGAAAAATTATTATAACATAATATTGAAATTAATAATAATTTAATATATTACAAAATTAATAATGAAATTATGTAATAAAAGTATAAATTATGATTTTATGGATAGTTAAATTCAATAAATAATTAATAATTAAAAAATTAAATATTTTACATATTATTTAAGTAGTTAAAAAACTAAGTGTTTTAAATAACAAAATATTTGACATAACTAGATTTTAAATAGTTAAAATAAAGAAATTATGTAATAGATTAAAAAAACCTCTAAAAAGTAGAAAATTAATTATAACAAAATATTGAAATTAATAATAATTTAAATTTTTTTACATAATATTGTAAATAATTAATTTCACTTATATCAAGTAATAATTCGAGAAAATAACTTTCAAAAAAATTAATATTTATTAATAATAATTTTAAAATCTTAATCTATATTTATTATATAATTGTATATACTAAAATTAATATTTATTGTATTTTAGTAATTATTTATTGTTTTTTTGTGATAAATGTATTTTCAATAATTATGTATAAGTTTATTTTGTTTTATTATTTAACAAAAAACTTTCAATAATTATTGGAGATTAAATTACTATTGTTGAAATTTTTAAATTTAATTTATTATACTTATTGTATTTATTGTATTTTTGTTATAAGTTATTGATTAATATTTATTAGATATTAAACTATTATTTGAAATTATACTATTTATTGACTAAGTTAATACATTTTTACTACTTATTGTATTTTTGTAATTTCTATTATCATTGTATTTTTTTATTATCAATATATTTTCAATATTTGTGTGTTTTCTTTATAAATTTTCAATAATTGTGTGTTTTCTTTATAAATTTTCAATAATTATTGGAGATTAAACTATTGTTATTTATTAGAGATGAGACTATTAATTTAGTTGAAATTATGAGTGTTCATGAGTTGGTTTGGTTCGGTCATAGGCTATTTGTCCAACAAATTTGACTTGGTCAGGTTAGGGAGTCGGTCAGCTAAAACTGACTAGCCTTTTGTGAAAGCCGACCCACTCAAGTTGAATCGGTTTGGGTCGATTTTTTGGTTTGGTCAAATTGGTTCAAAATATTTAAACTTAAAAATTAAATTTAATTTTACAAATTACAATGCAATTATTAAAAAATAAATTTAAAAATTAGATTTATGATATAAAACATTTTAAACTAAGAAATATGAGAAGTTTTCCACTTTTCCATATTAAAAATTATATTTAAAATATAAAATATTAATATATATATATATATATACATATATATATATATATATATATGGTTAGGTTGTTCGATTTTGGTTGGTTTTTAAATGGCCAAAGTGAAACTAATCCAACTTGGTCGAATTGAGAAATTTTTGAACCAAAGCCAACCTAAAATACTAGAAAACCAGCCAACTCGGGTTAAGTTAATCGGGTTGGTTGGTTTCATCAGTTTGATGAATAAAACTAACTGAAATTAATTATTGTTATTTTTGTATTATAATTTTTTTAAAAGTAGTTTATAAAATATGAATAATTATCAATTACTGAAAAAGTTGAAATATATAAAACAATTGTATACTCTTATGTGTTTCTATTAGGGGCATTTATTAGAACACACTTTTAGGGTTGGCAATTTTTCCCACCCCCGACGGTGACCTAACTTCCCCGACCTAATGGGGCCAGGGATGGGGATAGTCTTGGCGGGGCGAGGGTGGGGATAGGGATTAATAGGAATCCCTGGTCGGGGTCAGGGATGGAGATTGAGATCTCCGCCTTGCCCCGACCCTAATTATATATATATATTAAATATTATTTATATTAAATATACTATTATATTATATTATATATATATATATCAAAATATATTTAAAACATTATTTATAATTTAAATTTTTTATTTATTTCAAATAATTTTTTAAAAACTATTATTTGAAAACATTTTGGGGATTCGGGTCCCCACGGGGAACCCATCCCCGTCGAGGATCGGGGATGGGGGTTAATTTTTGAATCAGGGTCGGGGACGGGGAATATGATCCCCACCCCGAACCCACCCCGTTACCATTCCTACACACCTTATAGTTTTACATATTTACTTAAACCWACCTTATAGTTTTCATTTTACTAAAACATCCCATATATTTTATAACTTATTTACTTAATAACCTTTTATTAAGGAGTGTTTGTTTCGCCATTAGGCCCATGATTTTATATTTCAAAAATACCCTTAATACTTTTTTTTGTATAGAAAATAAAATTGACCAAATATAGCCAATAAAGTGGTTGTTTGTGTCTTATTAAGGGAAACAAGGTACTTTTATTTTTATTTTCTTTTTATTAAATGTATTTAAATTGACATTAAGCTCAACATTGTCATTTTCCACTATCATCTAATGGAAGATTGATTAAATCCATTGCAAATTATAAGTGGTGTTTAAGTAAAATGCTAACTATAGGGTATATTTTAGTAAATCCATGAAATTATAAGAGGTATTTTAGTAAATGACTCTTTTCTATTATTTAGCTTTTGCTTAATAAATCCCGTGCATTGCATGGGATTTATTAAAATACCCTTTTATTAAAAAAACATGCAGTTACCACCCTTTTATTATTGTCTTGGACGAAAAACATTGGTTAAATGCATTAATTTTTTAAAAATACCCATTTTATCCTCATATCTATCAATTCGTATGGAAATTTATTAAAATACCCTCAAAATAACTTTTCACTTTTAATTAAAATAATTCCCCAAGTAAAATTAAAAAGAATAAAGTAATTTTACTCTATGAAAAAGTCAAATCTAATGAAGTCTAGAGGGTCATATTTGACATTTTGAATTATATTAAAAGATGCCCTAATAAGTTGTAAGGCTAATTTTGTAAGTTTGAAGTCTCATAGGTAGGATAAAGATAGAAGGGGGGTACTTGCACATTTTTGTGAAACTATAGGGAAAGGTTTTATTAAAGTAAAACCTTTATGGAAAGGTTTTATGATTGTCAAAAACTTCAGGGAGGTTTTCATATTTTACGATTCTCAGCCAAACAGATTTAAGAATAAGACCAACACACTGTTCAGTTCAGTATCGCACTAAAAAACAATTGACTGTACATCGGCTCACACTTGTCCTCTTCTCGACATTCTTGCTATGATACGCCTAAGGTGTAAGATTCTCTTATTGATTGCCGTCTGACAAGGAGGAGAAGAGACCAATTGGAAACTGAAGAAGAAGAGAGAGGAGGAAGAAGACTTTCTCTTCTCTGTAATGTTTATCTATATTTAACTTTAACCATTTTCCTCTCTCTGCTGTAAGTCGAAGGAAGAGAGAGAGAGAGAGAGAGAGAGAGAGAGATGGTTTGTGAGAATTTATTCACTTTGCTCATAATCTTCTCAGTAGCTCTGATCACATACAACGTGATCATATCTGCAAATGCTCCTCTCAAGCAAGACTTCCCTGGCCCTGGAAAGTCGTCGTCACTTCGTCTCTTCTCGGTGGACCCCATCATCAAGATGCCGGTCGATCGATTGAAAGCCAATTACAAGAAGAGGCTGTTTCACACGGCAGTCACGGCTTCGGATTCAGTGTACAACACATGGCAATGTAGGGTTATGTATTACTGGTTCAAGAAGTTCAAGGATGGACCCAATTCCGAAATGGGCGGGTTTACGAGGATTTTACATTCTGGAAAGCCTGATAGGTTCATGGATGAGATTCCCACTTTTGTTGCTCAGCCCCTCCCAGCTGGAATGGATCAGGTACTTTCATTGGGGTTTTCTTTTCAATCTTAAGGCGCGGTTTTTTCCTTATGAATTCATTGGTCTTCTCTGTTGATTACTGAATTTTGGGTATATTCTGTAGCTTTGAAGTGTTCTCTCTCTGTAGATATGGCTTTGTAGAAGAACTTAGGAATTACTCAGGATTTAGGTCCTCGGCTTTGTATGTTTTTTTTTTCTTTTTTTTTGTGGCGAATTATGGATATGTTCTTGGAAATTTGAAGTACTTCTTGCTCCATTTCATTCTTGTTTTAAAGGCGTTTGGAGTTCTTGTACTTTTTTTGTGGTAATGCCTTTTCCATTTGTTTAGACTTACGTTTTTATTTTTTTTTTGAAGCAGTTGTTAAGTTGTATTGGGTGTTCTGGTTAGTTATATCTTGTCTCTTATCCTCCACCTCCCTTCTGTTATTGTATTTGTTATTCTAAATTAGGATTAGGACTTTGATGCCTATCTCATTTTAATCAGTACTTCTTTAGGATATAAAGTAGGAGCCTTAAGGACTTGTGTTACCTCCTTATCAACCAGAACAGAAGACTAACTGATTGGAGTTATCTAACCACAAATAATTAACCAAGTAATAATATGGAAAATGTAAAGAAGAAGAAAAGCTTTGCTCATACCACTGCTTATCACAATTCGAAAGCAAGGAGTAGAACCTGTGTGTATGTATGTATATAATCCATGACTCTAGCATACATGTTAACTTCTATACATAACCCATGACCAGTTATGCTAGAGCCATGGTTCCAGTGTAAAATTGTAAGCCTCAGGACCCTCAAGAAATGATAAAATTTCTTTCAGTTAACTCTCTATTGCTTTAATATTACTTCAACCATATTGTTAACTGGATAACTCAGAGGAAAGAAATTTTACATTCTATTTGTTTGCTTAAAGAGCAGAGCACTACAATTAATGTGACATATTTCTATAGACTGGAACTTGTATACCTTAAAAGTGATATCGTATATAATAAGGTCAGGCTTGAGGGGTTCTATTATTTCTATACTCTACTTAAAACAGAAGTCTACTATTTTGGGGTTCTATTACAAACGATACCTTAAAGTGATGTCGTATATAATAAGGTCAGGCTTGAAGGGTTCTATTATTTCTATACTCTACTTAAAACAGAAGTCTACTATTTTGGGTTGTCTTCATTTTGCTATTCATTACATTTCTTGGTATCATTACTAATGCTAAATTATTTTCATTTTATATTATGCTCTTATTTATACTACTATTGCTGTCATTTGTTGTCCTTATCATTGTTGTTGTTGCTATAATGTCAGGGTTATATTGTTCTGAATAGACCTTGGGCATTTGTACAGTGGCTTCAGGAGGCAGACATAAAAGAAGAGTATGAAACATTAATTCCCCACTTTTAGTGAAAGACATGTACCAGACCATTTTCTGTTTTCTGTTAAATGGTGAATCGGTGACTTATCAAAATTCTGGATATATCTATTCATTCTTCTGCAGTTATATACTAATGGCAGAACCAGACCATATTATAGTCAAGCCAATACCAAACCTGTCAAGGGATGGGCTTGGAGCTGCATTTCCTTTCTTCTATATTGAGCCCAAAAAGTTTGAAACAATTCTCCGTAGGTTCTTCCCTGTGAACAAGGGGCCAATCACAAACATTGACCCCATAGGAAATTCTCCAGTCATTATTGATAAGGTATGTAATTCTTCTATGTGTCTCATTTACAAGAGAAGTTATGTTCTTTTAAGTTTTCATTCATCATTGTATCATATGGTATTAGGCATCTCTTAGGAAGATTGCTCCCATGTGGATGAATGTTTCTTTGGCAATGAAGAAAGATCCTGAAGCAGATAAAGCATTTGGATGGGTGCTTGAGATGTAAGGATTTTGTAGGAATCAAACCCAACATTGTGCTATTTCACTTTAATTGATTTATGTCCTCATATTTTATCATGAACATGAAGGTATGCTTATGCTGTTGCATCAGCTCTGCATGATGTTGGTAACATCTTGTACAAGGACTTCATGATTCAGGTATTATAAGTTTTTCCCCTCTGATTCTTCCATTATTCTCCCATTGTTCTTATAATTTAGAGCAAAATAAAGGAACACCATTCATGCATAGTTGTCAAGGCGACGCCTAGGCAACAAGGCGCTGTTTGAGGCTTGCCTCGCGTAATCACCAAGCAATTTTGTACTATGTATTATAAAATACTTTTTTATTCTTTATTTTTTGACATTATAATTATAAAATAGGCACTATTAAACTAAAATATTCATTTTGTGTGTTTATATACTAATTTCTTTTTATTATTTTCTTATTTGTTTGGGTTTAATCAATACAAACACTGCTAAATGCTGTATTGAACCCTCAAAGACTTTAAAACCTGAACCAATAAGGAAGAACTTAT